CTTTTCTTCTCGGGATCTTCGGTGCTTCGGGACTCGCTTCGGGTCTTGGGATGATACCGGGGATTTGGGGGTATAACCTGCACGTAAATCGAGGTAATATTGGTGAGAGAGAAGAGATTGAGCAACCAAATTCGGCTGCCCCTTGAATTCTATTTATAGGGCTGATTTTTCGATTTTCATGTCGTGAACCATCATTTCACGTCGTGACTTTGGACGTCATCAGGTGCGTAGTCTCAACATGGGTCTGGTAGACTCAGAAGGGTCTCATCACTGAGTTCACGTCGTGAACCCTGACACAGGGTTGGGGTTCGTGCCCCGAACTTCAAAAATTCATATCTTTCGCATAAGAGCTCTGTTTTCGACGTTCTTTATATCCACGCGTAGGTGAGATTATGCTCTACAACTCTCGTTTAGAGTTCGTTGGCTAATTTCGAATTTATTTTTATTATATTATTTTTAGTAGGCCGGGACAGGAAAACTCCGTTAGAAATTTATAACTCCTTCATCCGACGTCCGTTTTCGTCTGTCTTTTTACCGTTGCACTACTATCGACGAGATCTTCGATTCTCGTATAGATTGTTTCGGCTGGAAATCACTCGATCTCATATTCGAACTTTGGGCTGCATACTGCTAAGCTGAAACTTAGAAAAGTCATAACTTCCTCATACGAAGTCAGATTTGAACGTTCTTTTTATGCACGCTCTCGGTTTAGCGTATTCTATGACTTTCGTTTAGATCACTAAGGCCACATATCGCTCTACCATAAATTCACTATTTATGTCTCGTTGTGCCGTGCTGGTTCTATCGTGAAACTTCGATATGTCATAACTTCTTCGTTATAACTCGGATTTCAGCATTCTTTATATTTCCGGAATCCTTGTCATGACCACTACAACTTAGTTAGGATTATTCATTCTAAATAATCTTTTATCAAAAGTCACTTTTGATGCTTATCGTCTCTAAATTAACTAGCCCGGATCTACGGGCGTTACAATTATCTCCCCCCTTAGGATGATTACGTCCCGAAATCATCAACGAAAATAGGGCTTGTATAATGATTCCATACGTTATCTTTCCATCCTAAGTAATAACCTTGATGCTAAATCTTGCACCTGCTCTTCGTACTATGTTGGACTTTCAATCGTAACCTACAAGTTACAAAATAAATCCTTATTGAGGACTCCTTCTTCTTCTTAGGATAAGTACTTCCCCTTATCTATTGTAACAGACCGATGGGTCATGTTCTAATGACCTCTCATTGTATGATGCAACGCTTGGACTCAAGTCTCTTAGAGTCAAATTCCATAATGGAATATACCTTCCTTCATATTCTAATGTGATATAATCACATTTTAGCATATAGCATTTCTAGCTACAAGCTTTATTAACAACGAGCGTGATGCTATTGATCGCATTGATTTCAATCTTCTGACTTAAGTCAGATGTTACATCGAACTTGGTTCTCTGAACCACGTAACAAACTCATCGTAGTCGGACTCAATTTGATATGACCACTAGGGTCAAAATATCAATCATCTCATTAGTCATTACCGAAACAATGGCAACGAAATACTTGAATAAAACGAGACCTATTACTAGCTTCTTGGTAACCTTGTGACTTTCCCTGATCCAAGTGTGAGTCCTGTGCTTCCAGTAGTATAGATCTCTACTACTATTAACACCTACTCATACTCATCCCAAGTATTGTCTCGCAGTCCCCAAGTCCTAAAATCACAAAATAATTTAACACATACGAATGTGTCCAAATACTCATAGAATTTTTCCTAGACTCTATTAGGACTTCTTCCATGCGTATTTTCAATCATCAATTCTACTTCAACTCGGTTGGTGATGGAAATTCCAGACGATGGGACAACTTCAAGAATTACACCAATCGTTCCATCATCCTGCCAATTGAAGGTGTACTTCAGACGTACCGTACTCCTCTAAATGTTCCGTTATTTTATCAGACATAATCTAAAGGCAAGATATCACTCTTACGATATCTTCTGATAGGTGTCATTCACTATCATAAGCATTTCATTTCCTCCATTTACTCAATTCTCTACGATTCTTCACTATAACGTTTTGTACACCCAAACAGACGTTCGGTGTACCGGGCGAGAATTAAGATAAGAAAGTTTTATTTACGATAGACGTATAAATCTCCTTATCACTCCGAAACTTTTACATGCTAGTTCTAATACCGTAGTCATACGCTTAGAATCCTGAACACATAAGGTTTCCAGATCCGGTCGACAACATACCATCGATCCGAAAAAATAATATCATATATGGCAAACATATAACATTTAGCACATAAAAGCATTTTAGGCATCTTTCCTAAAATATACTAGTGCTCGTGTCTTAAAATATGGTAGACACTCATCTCACGATCATCACTTAGCATTCTAAGTTTAAGTCTAGAAATCCTACAAATTCCTAGTTAGCTTAAACTAATGCTCTGATACCAACTGTGACATCCCCAATTTCACGGCCAGAAAAGACCGATTTGTTTATGCTTTGTTTTAAAAATCAGAGTAATCTTTTAAAGAAAACAGTTGCGGAATTTGTTCCCAAACAAAATATGATAAGATTTTATCAAAACATTTCTCAAAGAGAATGTACTTTTCATTAAATAATAAAACCTCGGGATGTCATTTCCGATACAGACCAAAAAGCATAAACAGTACGATTTAACCTTACAGCAGTTATTTACAACTACTGGTCTAAAATCCAAAATCTCTCGTCAAGTCAACCAACTTATACTCTTGTGTCATTGCCTGTAATGCAAAGAAAACTGAGTGGGTCAGGCTTGGGAGCCTAGTGAGCATATAGGGTTTTCTACCCACAATAATATAATTATTATATTCAATCATCAATCAATAAATCAATCAAACAATCCAAATTACCCACACCCATTATCTCCTTTATTTCTTAAGAATTTACCCTAAGTATCAACTATCCCTTATTCATTTATTCCTAAGGATTTCCCTAAGGAATTGACACAAAGTCCACCACTGCCCAGGTCCTCAAATTACAACCGGTAAACACTTAGTTCAACATATTTAGTGAACACCTAGTTCTAACACTCCTAGTGAACACTTAATTCAAAACATCTGGTGAATACTTAATTCTAAAACACTTAGTGAACACACTCAGTTCAACAACACCAAGTGAACACATCTAGTTCAAAAATACTTAATGAACCCAATCCTCTAATGAACATATAGTTCAAAAACACCTGATAAACACCTAGTTCAAAAAAATTATTAAACACTCAATTCGAAAATACCTAATGAACACATAAGTTCAAAACATTTAATGAACACTTAGTTCAAATATACCTGATGAACACATAAGTTCAAAACATCTAATGAACACTTAGTTCAAATATACCTGATGAACACATAAGTTCAAAACATCTAATGAACACTTAGTTCAAATATACCTGATGAACACATAAGTTCAAAACATCTAGTGAACACTTAGTTCAAATATACCTGATGAACACATAAGATCAAAACATCTAGTGAACACTTAGTTCAAATATACCTAATGAACACATAAGTTTAAAACATCTAGTGAACACTTAGTTCAAATATACCTGATGAACACATAATATCAAAACATCTAGTGAACACTTAGTTCAAATATACCTAACGAACACATAAGTTCAAAACATATAGTGAACACTTAGGTCAAATATACCTGATGAACACATATATATCATATTTCTAAAACAATCTATCCCATCCCATTGATCCCCACATACTGACCCTACACAATGATCTTACGATATCTAGATAAAAATGCCTAGCCGTGGTCCGAATATCGTGAAGTATTTTACCCCCAGACTCACCCTATCCAACATCGAACTTTGCCTAGCAGTGGTCTGAATATCGCGAGGTATGTTACCCCCAGACTCACCCTATCCAGCAATATAACACCAGACATACCTATTAGTGGTCTATTACCGACACACTTTATTAGGCAGTCTACGAAGTTCCCTCAATTACTTCATGAAAAAGAAACGCTGACATATGAAGCTCGTCCGATCACTTCATAAAAGAAACGATGACTCCAAAGCTCTTTTAAAATAAAAAGTATGAGGAAATACTAATAGAGTACTCCCGTACGCTCACGTAACCGACACACAATAGTGTCAAAAAGACTTTGTACATGAAAGTACTTCTGGCACATTATTGTACTCTGGTATGCGTAGGACTCGTACCCGAGAACATAATAATACCCAGGCGCTAGCAGCACCCAAGACACAGGGCTTTGAAAAGGACTTCGTACATAAAATGTACTTCTGTACGTAGGACGTACTCCACCGATCATCGATCTCGCCACACACGTACTCTTAATAAGAGGCTACCCAATGTCCAAACTTAATTGAACTAAACATCCCTTTTTAAGTCTTAACCCATCACTAGGCATGTAACATCCCATTTTAAAGGGATTAATTATATAATAAATCAGGAACTCCAGGAAGTAATTATTATTATTTTTATATTGTTAGAGCTCAGAAATTAAATAATAATTAGTGGGTTGTTGGTTTCGGGAAGTCGAATGACAAGAATTGAACTCCAGGGGTTAAAGTGTAGTTGTGGGACTTAATTTGTAAAGATTTTTATAAGCCAAGGGGCTGTTTGGTAAATTAGGGATCGAATTTGAGAATAATTATAGAAGCAGGGGTGAAATTAGTAAATATTGTACCTAAATTGCAATGAATCTTGGATGCTGGGGGCTGAATTGTAAATTATAGCCTTATAATGAAGAGAAATTAGGAAGGAGGGGCTAAAGGTGTACATTAAGGAAAGGTTGATATGGCTGGGCATTTAACCCGTCACCATGCACTGGTTGCTAACCCTAACCCTAATAATTGGTTCAGCCGCCACTCTCTCAAATGAACACCTCCGGCCGCCGCTTAGTCGAGTTCGAGTACCGCCATCCGTAACCCTACTGCCGGAATGATGTAGTGAACAACAAGATCTTCAGGTGGGTCGCCGGAATGCCATGAAACGTGATTGCTGCTGCTGTCCTCGATGGGTCTCGCACCACCGTCCTTCTTCTCCATTCTTTCCGGCGTCGTTGTCTTCTTCTTCTTCTGCCGCTGCACAATCGTCATTTTGGGCGGTTGTTGCGGCTGACGATTCTCCGAACTACCATGCGCCGCCGCTCGGTCGCTACTGACGTTGCTGTAGATGACGAGGCCGCCGATGAAGACGAAGATCGCCGTTGCCACCTTCTCCTTCGTTTAGCCACCGTTGCTGCCCTTCTCTTGTGCCGCCGCCTCCACCCTTGCGGCTGTTTCCCTCCGGCGAGATCGAGTGGCCGCCGGGAACACCCACTGCCACCCTATTCTTCTTTTCCATTCGTTAACCACTGTTGTTGTGCGTGTTCTGAGTCTGCATGTGTTCGAGTTGCTGCTGCCGGAGAAAAAGCCAAGGAAAAACCACCATGGTCGCCGGCCATGGTGGCTGCCGCCTCAAGGACCGCCATAGAGGGTGTGTATGCTTCTGTAGGGTGTTATTTTATGTGTGTGCGGTTATTAGTGTTAGTGTGTGTGTTAATCGGATGGTATTGTAAATTGTAACAAGTGGAATAATGAAAGAAAAGCTCAAACCACCACCGTAGGGTGGTGGCTGCCGTCTCCTGCCGCCACCGGCCGCCGTGTCGGGTGGCGGTGTGCCTTGTTTGGTTTGTGACTCGTTTGGATGTTGGAGAAGGGACTACTAACCCTAGTGGGCCCTAAGAGACCCCAATGGACCCAATAAAACCCTAATGGGCTTGATGATATTCTAGTGGGTCTAATAGGCCCAATAAAGACCTAATTGACCTAAAAGCCCAACAAATTGATAAATGGGCTAGTAATTGGGTTGGAAACCCTAATTAGGGTTTGGAAAGCCCTAAGAGCATAAAACCCTAATTGTGGGAATTGTTTGGGACACACACGAGAATTAATTATTAAACTTAAAATAATAATTAATAATCATTGGCCAACTAACTTAGCAATAATGGACTTAATGGATTAAGTCCTTAATGGATTAAGTCCTTAAGGGGTTAAGTAAGAAACACTTAACCCTAATCATCATTTCATGTGAAAGCCCCAATCTCACTCGGGCCTTGAATTGGGCCTTCTTATTGGGCTTTGGCGATTGGACTATTGATGGGCCATCCAAGAACAAGTTAATGGACCAAAGTAATTAGATGGGCTTTAGGATAAGGCCCATGTGAGGACTTAGGACCAATTTGGAAAATTAGGCCATAGATGGGCCATAATTGGACCTTTTATGATTATGTTGTAATGGGCCATGGGAATTGGAATGGAATAATTGGATGGGCCTTAAGGAAAGACCATGTAAAGGTCTGGGCCCAATTTGGAAAATTGGGCCATATGTTGGGCTTTGGCCCATTACTTGACTATTGAGCCTTTAGTGTGTGAGTTGGACTTTGGGCTTGGAACCCAATTATTAATTGGGTGTTGTTTGATGTTGACAGTTCGGGAATCTGTCAACCAGCAGCTGGAGTTTTATCGGCGGGACTTCAGCAGTGCCAGGTGAGTTCTCCTCACTATATCAACAGGGTCTAAGGCACCAAGGCCGGCCCTTTATGGATTGTATTCGGATTATTGCATGTTATGCTTACTGATTTACATCCTGGTAGTTAGGATGGTGATATGTTATGCTAGTGACCTGTTAGGTCGATATCCTGGTTATAGGATTGTTGCTATGCTTCGTGATCTGTTAGATCGGTTTATCTGTTATGTATATACATGCTAGTGTTATATGATATCTATGTGCACATGATTGTCCTGGTCATAGGATGATGCTATATTAGTGACCGGCTAGGTCTGTATCCCGGTTATTGGGATGTTGCTATGATTGGTGATCTGTTAGATTGGTTTGACTGTTATATGAAATGAGCTAGCGTATGATATTTATGTGCACATGTTTGTTTGATTGGGGGTTGGGTTGAGGCGGTCCTGCTCTGTGCTGTAGGCCAACATACCCGGCGAGCGGTCCGGATAGGCTGTAGGCCCTGCGTGGTGGTCCAGACGTGCCGTAAGCTCGAAGAGCAGTCCAGATACACTGAAGGCCTGTGAGGTGGTCCAGTTAGGTTGATGACTCATTATGCATGTTGTTCTATATTTGTATTGATATGATAATTGTTCTGGTTAGTATGGGTTGGTATTTTGGGGAAACTCACTAAGCTTCGGGCTGTTGATTTTATTTCAGGTATTTCTGATGATCGCGGGAAGGCGAAGGCGTGATCGTGCACCTCTTTATATTTTCATGATTGATTCTGGGGATACTTTGATGTCTAAACTATTTTGAAAACAAATTGTAATGACTTAACGGTTTTAAATGTTTTAAAAAAGTTTTAAATTTGCTTGAATTTTGGGGTGTTACAAGGCAAACCAACTGGTAGTTAGGATGGTGATATGCTATGCTAGTGACCTGTTAGGTCGATATCCTGGTTATAGGATTGTTGCTATGCTTCGTGATCTGTTAGATCGGTTTATCTGTTATATATATACATGCTAGTGTTATATGATATCTATGTGCACATGATTGTCCTGGTCATAGGATGATGCTATGTTAGTGACCGGCTAGGTCTGTATCCCGGTTATTGGGATGTTGCTATGATTGGTGATCTGTTAGATTGGTTTGACTGTTATATGAAATGAGCTAGCGTATGATATTTATGTGCACATGTTTGTTTGATTGGGGGTTGGGTTGAGGCGTTCCTGCTCTATGCTGTAGGCCAACATACCCGGCGAGCGGTCCGGATAGGCTGTAGGCCCTGCGTGGTGGTCCAGATGTGTCGTAGGCTCGAAGAGCAGTCCAGATAGACTGAAGGCCTGTGAGGCGGTCCAGTCAGGTTGATGACTCATTATGCATGTTGTTCTGTATTTGTATTGATATGATAATTGTTCTAGTTAGTATGGGTTGGTATTTTGGGGAAACTCACTAAGCTTCGGGCTGTTGATTTTATTTCAGGTATTTCTGATGATCGCGGGAAGGCGAAGGCGTGATCGTGCACCTCTTTATATTTTCATGATTGATTCTGGGGATACTTTGATGTCTAAACTATTTTGAAAACAAATTGTAATGACTTAACGGTTTTAAATGTTTTAAAAAAAGTTTTAAATTTGCTTGAATTTTTGGGGTGTTACAAGGCAAACCAACTGGTAGTTAGGATGGTGATATGCTATGCTAGTGACCTGTTAGGTCGATATCCTGGTTATAGGATTGTTGCTATGCTTCGTGATCTGTTAGATCGGTTTATCTGTTATATATATACATGCTAGTGTTATATGATATCTATGTGCACATGATTGTCCTGGTCATAGGATGATGCTATGTTAGTGACCGGCTAGGTCTGTATCCCGGTTATTGGGATGTTGCTATGATTGGTGATCTGTTAGATTGGTTTGACTGTTATATGAAATGAGCTAGCGTATGATATTTATGTGCACATGTTTGTTTGATTGGGGGTTGGGTTGAGGCGTTCCTGCTCTATGTTGTAGGCCAACATACCCGGCGAGCGGTCCGGATAGGCTGTAGGCCCTGCATGGTGGTCCAGATGTGTCGTAGGCTCGAAGAGCAGTCCAGATAGACTGAAGGCCTGTGAGGCGGTCCAGTCAGGTTGATGACTCATTATGCATGTTGTTCTGTATTTGTACTGATATGATAATTGTTCTGGTTAGTATGGGTTGGTATTTTGGGGAAACTCACTAAGCTTCGGGCTTACAGTTGTTGATTTTATTTCAGGTATTTCTGATGATCGCGGGAAGGTGAAGGCGTGATCGTGCACCTCTTTATATTTTCATGATTGATTTTGGGGATACTTTGATGTCTAAACTATTTTGAAAACAAATTGTAATGACTTAACGGTTTTAAATGTTTTAAAAAAAGTTTTAAATTTGCTTGAATTTTTGGGGTGTTACAAGGCAAACCAACAAAGCTTATAATCAATTTTCGATACTATCCCCGTTTAGGCAACGCTAACTAGTGTATACTTAACATAGAGTTTTAAGTAATAATATCATGTATACACATCTTAACACATATTGAACCATAACTGGTTCGCACGTTGTATATCAACAAATATATATTTAACACTTTAATCAATACTTGTATTAGAATCATGTTCATGAAAGGGACTATGCACATGATACCTTATCGGATGAACACATAGTTCAAAAATACATAATCCGTACTCCCGGATCTAAAACTTACCTCCTTACCTTATCCCTATTCCCGGATCGGGTATGTCTAATCCATCTTAATAAACAAACAATATATATACACATAGTGCGTATTTCATAAGATACTTCATATCCATGTGTAAGATGAAAGTGACTATACACTCACTTGATAAGACGATTATGGGACAGCACTACGGCTCTTCCAGCAGTATTCTTCGGTGAAACTGTGATCTCTTCACACATCGGGCTTCTTGCGGGCAGAGCTTCGGCTCGAAACTCTTTTCTTCTCAGAATCTTCGGTGCTTCGGGACTCGCTTCGGGTCTCGGGATGATACCAGGGCTTTAGGGGTATAACTTGCACATAAATCGAGGTAATATTGGTGAGAGAGAAGAGATTGAGCAACCAAATTCGGCTGCCCCTTGAATTCTATTTATAGGGCTGATTTTTCAATTTTCACGTCGTGAACCATCATTTCACGTAGTGACTTTGGACGTCATCAGGTGCGTAGTCTCAACTTGGGTCTGGTAGACTCAGAAGGGTCTCATCACTGAGTTCACGTCGTGAACCCTGACACAGGGTTGGGGTTCGTGCCCCGAACTTCATAAATTCATATCATTCACATACGAGCTCCGTTTTCGACGTTCTTTATATCCACACATAGGTTAGATTATGCTCTACAACTCTCGTTTAGACTTCGTCGGCTAATTTTGAAATTATTTTTATTAAATTATTTTTAGTAGGCCGGGACAGGAAAACTCCGTTAGAAATTCATAACTCCTTCATCTGACGTCCGTTTTCGTCTGTCTTTTTACTGTTGCACTACTATCGACGAGATCTTCGATTCTCGTATAGATTGTTTCGGCTGGAAATCACTCGATCTCATATTCGAACTTTGGGCTGCATACTGCTAAGCTGAAACTTAGAAAAATCATAACTTCCTCATACGAAGTCAGATTTGAACGTTCTTTTTATGCACGCTCTCGATTTAGCATATGCTATGACTTTCGTTTAGATCGCTAAGGCCACATATCGCTCTACCGTAAATTCACCATTTACGTCGCGCTGTGTCGTGCTGGTTCTATCGTGAAACTTCGACAGGTCATAACTTCTTCGTTATAACTCGGATTTCGGCATTCTTTATATTTCCGGAATCCTTGTCA